CAACATTCTTATCCAATAAGCATACATACTATGTGCAAGTCTTTTCCGGATTTATTCGATATCCCATCTTAAAATATCCAACGACTTGGAACTGTATTTAAGATCACAGCTTTCAAGATATGTTTCAAGATCACCATCTCTATACGCAACCATATCTTATAGCTATAAGTGATCTAGGGATTTTATCTTAAGTGCAAATATATGATAAATGCTTACTCTTAAAATAAAGCAATGCCTTATTATTTAATATAATTCCAATAGATTGTATTTATAAGTAGAATACGTCCAATTTGATTGGAAAGCCGGGTATCCTACTCTAACAGAAAAATCCTAGCGCGGAAGTCCCATCAGAGGATATGATGTCGACGAGGGTGCATTGGCATTTCTCGAAAAACATGACCGGCTTCCAACTTTAGTCTGGTTGTTATTTTATTTATTATCTGCATTTATGTGTGTATTTATTTATGTTTGTGTATTGGGATTATTGAATTTTAGGTTTTTTTAGTCTATGTGGTAGGATAAATAATGTTCCCCTACCCACGGTGGACACATGTTAATATGTTCACCGCTTATGTGGCATCACACATTGGTGATGTTAATATGTTCAAAAAAATACATCACCAATATATGCATGCCACATAAGCGGTGAGCATATGTTAGGTAGGGGAGCATTACTGGTGGTAGGATTGGAAATATAAATAACCGTAGGAACTTGTTGGCAAGACAGTTATTATCATATATTGAATGAAAATCATCGTGTTCTTTGTGGAACTTCTCTGTACACAATCTCCCATCACATGTCTGCTACATCATTTGGTATCAGAATACTGATGCGCCGCCATCTGCAATAGTCTGATTAATACCTAAAGTGTCGATTGCGCAGGTAAGAAATAATGAGGCTATGATGTGAAGGAAAGCGGTGTGGTGTGAGATGGATGTTGTTCATGTTCTTGAAGTTTTTGAATTTTAGAACAGTGCAATGAGATTGAATGTTGTCGAATGGCGGTCTCAAAAAATAATATAAATTCTGTGCGTGTGAATGCGACTTGGGTTAGCGATAAACTATTCTGGCAACCAGAAGCTTTTGGCGATGGATAGTAGTTTGGCATGGTCTGTTTATGGTGTGTTTGGTTGGAAGAAAAGGCTACCGTGAGGCAGCTGCTTTCATCACGATAGACAGATGTGTAGTACAATAGAGTGATCATGTTGTTGACTGTGATAATCAAAGAGATCTTATTCTCACTTGCTTAAACTGAATACATGTGTATGAATATATAGAGTAGAATATGGAAAAGAAGGAAACAAATAAACTAGAGATATGCAAAGATTTGAGTATATTTTAACATGTCTAACACCCCCCTCCCCTCAAGCTAAGTCGCGTCTGCAACAGAAACGCGTAGCTTGGTCCTGAAATAATCAAAGATACCGTGCGGCAAGCTCTTCGTGAATATATCTGCCACCTGATTGTCGGACTCCACGAATTTAGTGAATAGATGCCCAGAGTCCACAAGCTATCGAACGAAGTGATAATGGATATCAATGTGGTTTGCGCGCTTATGCGAAATCGGATTTTGAGTGAGAAAAGTTGCACTTGTGTTATCAGAGTAGAGCATTGGAGAGGATGGTGGAACCGCATGCAAATCTCGAAGGAGATTCATTACCCATTGTATTTCTGAAGCAGTGTGAGCAATGGCTCTATATTAAGACTCACAACTAGAGCGAGCCACGATTGGCTGTTTCTTCGCACTCCAGGAAACAAGAATGGGGCCAAGATAAATGGCATAGCCATAGGTTGAGCGACGAGTGTCAGAACACCGTGCCCAGTCAGCGTCGGAGTATCCAACAAGAGAAGAAGGACCATCAGAATAAGATAAACCATAGTTCAGCGTTTCTTTGATGTAGCGGAGAATCCGCTTGACGGATTGGAAATGATCAATGGTTGGATGTTGCTGGAATTGACTGACAGTGTTTATCGAATAAGAAATATCTGGGTGCATGATTGTTAAATATTGCAGCGCACCAACCAGAGAACAATAAAGTGTCGGGTTGTCAAAAGGATCACCATGTTTGGTCATGGAAGAGCCTGGTGCAAGTGGGGTAGCCACGGGCTTGGAGTACTGAAGCTCGGCGCGCTTAAGAATGTCCAAGGCATACTTAGTCTGACTGAGAAATAAGCCGAAAGAGGAACGAGTAACCTCTAGAACAAGAAAGAAGCCAAGAGAGCCCATATCCTTAATCGCGAACTCGCGATGCAGACGAGAGATGAGGGCCGCAAGGACAGTTGGAACGTTGTCGGTGATGATTCTGTCATCAACATAAACCAAAAGATAAACCAATGTGTCGCCGCTCTTGTGAACAAAGAGAGATGTATCTAAAGAACTGCATAAAAAGCCAATCGAAAGCAGAAAACCGCGGAAGCATTGATACCAAGCAAGGGGAGCTTGCCGGAGACCATAGATGGCTTTATTTAACTAACAAACATGGTCAGGAAAATGAGGATCAATGAAGCCAGGGGGATGTTCCATAAAGACCGGAGAAGAGAGTACATCATTTAAGAAGGCATTTTTTACGTCCAGTTGGTGAAGTGGCAAGGAGTTCATAATAGCAAGTGAAAGAACAATTCGAATAGTGGATGCTTTGACAACGGGACTGAAGGTGTGAGTGTAATCAAAACCAGGAATTTGGCTAAACCCTTGGGCAACCAAGCGAGCTTTATATCGATCAACAGAACCATCAGCAAGAAGTTTAGTGCGAAACACCTACCTCGAATTGACTATGTTGGTGGAGGAAGGGCGCGACACGAGAGACCAAGTATTATTCGCCTTTAAAGCAGATAATTCCCCAAGCATAGCACGTACCCATTCAGGAGATTTAAGAGCAGTCGTGATGCCACGTGGCTCCGAAATAGCCTTAAGAGCAGTGAGAAGAGATGCACAGTTAATGGTGGCAGGATATCGAGGTTTACAGATACCTGACTTTGCTCGAGTTTGCATCGGATGCATGGCAACAGGAGGTGCGCGTGGCGCAGCAGGAGGAGCTCGTGGCACGGTATCTGATTGGAGACCGAGTTGCGCATCAGCAGGCTGTTCGTGAGGAAGATCATCAGCGGGGTTCGTAACAGGAGGGTTAAGTGGTGGAACAGCGGATGGCTGGACCAAGTCACTCGACTCACAGATGCGGCAAGTGGAAGGAGCCTGTGGCGGAGTAGGTGATGGTGAAAGTGGAGAGGTGTCCGGAGCAAGAAAACCATCAACATAAGTTTAAATATCCAGAGAAGAAGGAGCAACTGAAGATGTGACTGCAGAGAAAGGGAGCACGATTCATCAAAGTGAGCATGGCGTGTGATATAGACCTTCGAGTTCGACGGATCCAGGCATCGAAAACCTTTGTGAGAAGGGATATAGCCGATGAAGATGCACGGCTGACTGCGAGGTTGGAGCTTGTGCTTCACATAGTCGCATAGACATGGAAAAACCAGACAACCAAAAACGCGAAAGAGATCATAACTCGGTTGCGTTGCATAGACACATTCAAATGGCGAAATATTGTCAAGAACCGGTGAAGGAAGTCGGTTAATAGTGAACACAGCAGTACTGAAGGCTTCAACCCATAAATGTAGAGGAGCTGAAGAATGAAACAAAAGAGTGAGACCCATCTCCGTGATGTGTCTATGCTTCCGTTCAACTCTACCATTTTGTTTCGGAGTATACGGACAAGATAGAAGATGGTGAATGCCACATTTAGAGAAGTGTGCTTTAACACGGTTGTTAACAAAATCAGAACCCCCGTCACTCTGAAAACGCTTGATGGTGCAAGAGAACTGATTTTCCACAAATGCCTGGAAGCTTAGAAAAGTATCATAAAAATCTGATTTGGCATGAAGAGGGTAGAATCAAGTAAAACGCGAGTAGTCATCCACAAAAATAACATAATACCGAAAACCAGCAGTAGAAGTAACCGGGGAAGGTCCCCACAAATCACAATGAATTAAATCCAATAAAGCAGAAGATCGTTTTGTTGAAATAGGAAAAGACAAACGCTTGCTTTTAGCTAAATGACAAGAATTACATGAGACGGACTTAGAAAAACTGGAAGTAGTAGATAACAACTTCAGATTTACTAAAGTAGATAAAATAGCTGGAGAAGAGTGTCTAAGTCTGGAATGCCAAAGTTCAGCGGAAGCACGTGGAGATATGGATGTGTGAGCAGCAAAAACCTTGACCACCAAATCCAAACGGTATAGGCCACTATCACGCACGCCGGTTGCGATTATGTTGCCGTTGTCCTTGTGCTGAATACGAAGGGAAGAGTCAGTGAAGATAACATGAACATGTAAGTCTCTGGTCAATTTGCTAATAGACAAAAGATTCTTAGTCATTCTGGGCACAACGAGGACATCGCGTAAATAAAAAGAATTAAAGAAAATAAGAGAACCAGTTTGCGTGATAGGAAGTTGATGACCATTACCCACTGTGACACGATCGGAGCCGTTGTAATCAGTAAGATCATCAAGCTAAGATGCATCCGAGGTGATATGAGCATAAGCCCCAGTGTCTAAGTACCAATCAGAAACATTAGGTTGCGATATAGAGCAACTTTATGATAGTGCTTCGACCAGATTAGCTGTAGTAGAGGATCGGGAAGGCCGAGTGAAAGAGCGGTCAAAATGTCTAGGACAGTCCCATGCATCATGGTTCTCTTTACGGCAGAAATAGCACCACGGCGGACGACGACCTTTGCCTTTATTTTTCTTGAAGATTCCTTGTGGCTGAGACGAGGTCGGAGGACAGGCCTGAGGAGCAGCATAAAAGACAACCGAAGAGGACGTGGCGAGATGTCAGATGAACGTTGGAAAAATTGGTGACTTTTAGCGCGGGCAAGAAGTGTGTCGAATTCAGAAAGAGGCTCCTGAGCAAGTTGCACGGCCGTGAACGTCGAAAAAGCAGGCCCCAAACCTCGTAGGAACCAGTGAGATTTGTCAGTCGAATCAATAGACCGAATGATGGAAGCAAGTTTGTCACAAATTGCCTTGAAATGCTGTCCATATTTAGAAATGGAGAGATCCCCACGCTTGACAGAGAGAAGATCGTCCTTCAGGCCGAGTTCTCGAGCCTTCGAGGCATGACTATAGGCGCGAGTCAGAGAGGTCCAGACGTCACGGGACGAAGTGCAACCAATAATAACGGCCATGGACTGCTCCGTAAGAGTGGAAACAAGAAATAGCCGGATCAATTGATCCCGGGAATACCAAGTGGCGAAGTCAGGATTTGGACTTTATAGACCTGCCGGTGTAGTGATCTCGCGCGATGGGAATAGGGATGAGCCATCCAGATGTGGAAGAAAACCCTGGGTGATGAGAAGGGGTTCGATCTGGGAATTCCACAAGAGGTAATTTGCGGAAGTGAGTTTGATATTTACCATATAGATCATTGTAGACAGAGGAGTCGAACGAATGCTACCCTCGGCGGCCATGGAATAAGTAGGAACGACCGAAAGAAAGATTAGGGTTTGTCAAAGAGTTTGGCTAATACCATGTGATAATCAAAGAGATCTTATTCTCACTTACTTAAACTGAATACATGTGTACGAATATATAGAGTACAATACGGAAAAGAAGGAAACAATAAACTAGAGATATGCAAAGATTTGAGTATATCTTAACATGTTCAACATTGACGAGTTCGGGCAAGGTGCTTATTTAAGGATAGAGATTTTTTTCTTATTTCTAGACTTGATAGATTTGAGATTGTATGTGTTGATATCCGAGTTAGCCAAAGCGGAAACTTCTTAGAACCAGGCCGGGAACCCGGTCCAGTCCAGAAGTGTCGGGCTGAATTTCGGAGATTAAATGACCACGACCATCACATGAACGGTTTATGAGACCGGCACCTGATACTGAAGATCCGGGGTGCCTGGCTCATCAGATGTCGGACTGAACGAGGAATACCGAACACTCAGGTAACATATCCAGTAGAAGTGTCGACCTGAGGATCCTAAGCGGTTAACTTGGAGGCGAGCGCAAGGCTTAGTAACATTAAAATATTCGCACTTGGAAAGCCATTATTGGACGATGGGACGGGATTTCATAGCCTGCAGCCCTACTGTTAAGCCTAGCCAAAAAGCCTACCAACATTAAATGCTCTCCATGTTTCATTAAATGTCTGAAAGGAAATGATTGAAGAAACCTCAAATCGCATTAAATAACTGTGAGGGAGGCGCCGAACTGCTCTGCAGAACTACTGTACGATAAGACCGGTGAAAAGTACCTAGTCTAAAAAAGTGTATTCTTCAATGCAAACAAAAGTAGAGACGCTTTTGGTCTAGTTTTGTTTACATGACATGTAAATAGAATTAAGTCTTAGATGACATGGACAAAAATATTGAAAAGTAATGAAATTAACTCCAATACAAAGAAACTGGTCTAAAATAGACTCAATGGTAGATCGGGTCTCTTTTTTGCTGTCACATCAACAGGACACAGTCCAATTGCATTTGCATTGGAGTAAATATTTTTCTAGACTGAGTCTATTTCCTATGTTACTTGTATATTTATTTTGAAAGAACTCAAAGCATTGTGGATCGACCCTTGCTCGCCGCTACTACTAGTTAGTAGAGGCTAAAATTTAACCGGCAACGGCGCCAAAATTTGACAGCGCATCGCAACGCGGCAAAATTAAAATTTATATTTTTCTTAACTAACCTCTAGTAACTAGTAGTAGCGGCAAACAAGGGCCGATCCCACGAGGAGTGAGAATAAAATTGTGAATTTTTCTCGTATTATATAAAAAGCGATAAAAAGTGGAGGATTGGATTAAAATCTAAGATCCTAATTAAATAAATAAATCAAAACAAAAGGAAAATAAAATAAAATAAAATAAATAAGAAAATTTTCTAGTTCACGGTTCCGTCTACACCCTCGACTGACTCGTCTAATCAACTTTTATATAAAATCCCGCTATATTATGAAATTACTAGCCCTAGGTAACGACACCGTCTGCTACCTAAATTTTTCTTATTTTAAATTTAACCGCGAGATGCTCTACGATTAAACCTGACTTCTTGTACAGTCCAGAAAGACGATTTCAAGATTTAATACAATTAGCCGCTTTACGAATTAGAAAAATAGGCTAAACTAAAGAGTGAACTCAACTGCGTTTGTTCACTTAAATAGGTCGTGTTACCCCTGGTAGTTACCATCTTACGGTTGCCTCTTATGAATTAAACACAACAACAATTACGTATTGAAGGTTTCATTCAACTATATATATGAAAAACTTAATCTAGGTGATCAATCTAAATAAGACTCAACAAATCCAAGTTATTCAGTCAAAATAACACGCACAATTCTATAAAGTTAACTCAATAATTAACCATATAAATTAATCAAACATTGTTAAGTCGTAGGGTTCGACTTTTCCGAAATTAAAAATAAAAATTAGCCTAACATACTAATAAAATAAATAATAGATTAAAGAGAGAGATTAATTATCTCCCTCTTTTGTGGATGCGGTATCCCTCCGCAATTGCCGAATTTCCCGTATGCAAGTCCTTTTTATGTTCGCGTCTGTGCGTTCTCTCTTCTCTGTTACGCGTGGCGGCTCCCTGGATTGCGTGATTTTTTCCCGGGGAGCTGCGTGATTCTCCAGGCAATATATATTCCTCTCACAAATAATCCTCTTCAAATTAAACTAGTGAGAATCCCGTGCGAAAAAACGTATTAGCCCATTGATTCGTTTATATTAATATAAATAACATTTTAACTATATATTTATTATTTAATATAAAAAATAATTTTACATATTTTGGTTCATCATAATACTTTAATATTATTTTATTCAAAAATTTATTGTCGTATAATGCCAATATTATCTATAGCATTTATAGAAGTAATATTCATATATATATATAATGATAAATATTTAATGTATATTAATATTATTTACTGATGTGATTAATTTAAAAATATATAATCAAATCTAATGTTTGTTAGGAATGTGATAGATCTCGATATTTTAGGTACAAATATATGATATGAATATCTTGAAATACAAAAAGAATTTTTATGTGATTTATTACGTTAACAAATCAGCCGCAATTACCTAAATTATATCTTTAAAAAAACATACCATAAAGTGTTTAAATAGTTTCCAGTATTAGTAAACAAAATTTTTTTGGCGGGAAAAAGTTACTATTTAAAAAATAATAAAACCCTTATATATATATATATATATATATATATATATATATATATATGTATATATATATGAGAAATTTTTGTGTATCCCACACGGAAGTGAAAATATTCCAAAAATACCATTCATCAACATTTAATTTTGTATCTACCTAATAGATAAAAAGTAGCTACATTAATCCCTAGAAAACAGTTACAGATGGTGCAACCTCCATTCCCTAATTTTATGCCCATGATTCACGGGTCTGTTAGTAAAAAAAATAAAAAATGGGCATGTTCACTTTGGAATGCATATCAGAAAAATAGAACGATTTGTTGAAATTTTATGCCCAAGAAATTTGAATTTAAACCATATTCATTGTCGCTACTCAAGAGAAAAAACAAAGGCCGGAGGGTCGCTCGGAAGTTTCATCAAGAACAATTCACGCAATATATACTGCCAAAAAGCGCGAAAAGAAGATAAACGTGAGGTATGTTTTGTGATTTTAACGTTCATTCAACTGTACATGATTTTGATTTTACCGAAAATATACCTAAAATATATCGAAAAAAACGAGGACGTGAAATTTTATAAAGAAAAAAAAGGGACATGTCAATCACAAATATTTTTAGTTTATTAACAGTATATTTCTAGTTTATTTTGTGATTTTAAAGTTCATTCAACTGTACATGATTCTGATTTTACCGGAAATATACCCTAAATATACCGGAAAAAAACAACGTGAAATTTTATAAAGAAAAAAAAAACGAGACGGGTCAACCATAAATATTTCTAGTTTATTTCTAGTTTATTAACTGTATATTTCTAGTTTATTTTGTGATTTTAAAGTTCATCCAACTGTACATGATTCTGATTTTACCGGAAATATACCAAAAATATACCGGAAGAAAAAAACGAGGAATCTTCATTCATTTCATATCTATAATTTTTTCTGTTTAGTAACAAAAAATTAAAAAGATTAGCCCAGATCGTTGCCCACAACGTCGTCTTTCCGAAGAAAGGATACGAATTTACTGGAGATCAGACGGCAAGAGAGAGAGAGAGAGAGAGAGAGAGAGAGAGATCGAGTGCTTCGACGGCTTGTCGCTGGTGCCGCTTCCTGACCTATCGACGCTTGCCAACCATCCGTTGTTCGCCTTTCTTCGACGCATGTAATAGCCCGTTATGTTATTAATATAAATTACGCTTTTAGTTTCGATATAATTATTTTATCGATTATTATCATTCAAAACTAATTATTCCAGTCAAGAACATTCGAATTAAATTTCGAAGTCATGTTTACGCTCGGAATAATTTTAGTAATTAAATTTCATGTATTATAATTTAATCTATATTTAATGACTAATATCATGGTTAAGTCTAATTATGTCATTAAATATACTTAAGGAAGGAATTAAGTGACAAAATGCCGTACGCATGGAAGGCCTTCACATGAAGATTATCATCATGCATTTTAGCATGAGGTGGCATGTTCTAAACCCTTAAGTAGTGACTAAGCTTATTAGGAGATGAATAAGCCCTTCTTTAAGTCCTAAGCATCTAGCACTTGGCAAGCAATCATTGGTTAAGAACAATTTTTATTTTCTTCATTCGTTTTCCCTCCATATTTAGGCTAAGATAGGGCGAAAAATTCAGTACTTCTCTAATCATATATTTAGCTAAGAGTTAGAGTATTAAGAGAGACTTGAGTGTTATTACCGTAAGCAACGCACGGAGAAGTGATAGTCGTACGCGCACGCATGTGAAGCCTCACACGGTCACGAGAGATTTCTCGTAATTCATCGAGAGTTTGAAGAGGTAACTTCAGCTTTGCCTTCTCTTGATGTTAATAAGATCATGTTAATTCAGTTATGTCCAAATCATGCTCTCAAATTCATAAGTTGGCCGTGTTTGCTCTCGGGTACTCCATGTTAAGCCATGACCAAGTTATGTTTGTTTTTATCCGACAACTCCCGAGAAATTCATGTCTATTTGATCGTTATATGTCATTTTATATTC